CGTGGCTCCTCGCTACAATGAGCGTTACAGCGGTGCACATGTTCATGTGGCTCGGTCCGCTTAGAAGCATTCCCATATAGCTATGGGCACAAAAAAAAAATGACTCATACGAAAAGAAAAGGCAAAACGTGAGGAAAATAAAGGACATAAAGAAAGAGAGAAAATCTGAATGAGGTATGAATTAGATGTCAAAGTGTTGCTAAAATTTCGCAGGCCTCTGTTTAGCTGTTTACTCTCTATCTGTAACTGTTGAGCATGTGAACTTGTTCAGCTGGCACTGCAAGTTTGCGGACATGTTTTGTGTTCAGAACGGTGATCTTGGTTCACTTTGTTCTGAACGATGTTACTGAAACCTACAACGCACACCCTGATTTTATTCAGGACGTACACCACATCCAGTCATTATTAACAAACTTAAAATGATTTTATTCTGAACGATTCCGAATTTGAATTCAACAAAAATTGTTCTGATCAACCGTACACCGAGACCATGTTCAGTCACTTACAATGTTCAACAGCACAGTGAAACAGCAAACACTCCAGTGCCCAGAATACTGTGACCAACGCAATGTTAGAATCTTTGCCAACCATACTGTCCATACACAACATTCAGTCATTCAGGTTCAGCAATGGTCCAAGACGTTCTCGCTGACGCTACCAACCTAACAACTGTTATGAACTCGATTGATGAAGGCAGCATGGGTTGAGAACAACCGCACTCAGGCTCTGTTCGTTTCCTGGAGTTCCCAACTCCTCCATCTCGTTTTCCGCGCGCACGCTTTTCAAACTACTAAACGGTGTGTTTTTTGCAAAAAGTTTATATATGAAAATTGTTTAAAAAAATCATATTGATCCATTTTTGAAAAAAAATTAGCAAATAATTAATTAATCACGTACTAATGAACTGCTCCGTTTTCCGTACTGGAGGGATGGGTTCCCAACCCAAGCAAAAGAACAGAGCCTCAACCGACAGACGAACAAATACCAAAAGTACCGAAACTCAATTATACCGTCGCAACAAGAAACACCTATGATACCAACATGATTCAACCAGCCAAACGAACACCGAGAGGGAGGGCGGAAAAAGTTATATAGGGCAAACAAGAACAGTACTCAACTAATAACCAAAATCTCTGAAATGTTTCAGCCATATAGAGATGCTGACCATCACAAGTAGCTCATTTAACATAACATTAGCAAACTCGACAAAGGTAACAGCTGTTCTAGAGTAGGCAAGCCCCCCGTACACATTCAGGGCAAACAAAGATGCATGTCACCCTCACACTTAGGTGTTGGTTGCCCTGGTGTAGATCTGCTGGCTTGAGTGAACCGAGACCATGCGGATTAGGCCCCGTGTCATTAAATCATTGATGGCCCTACGAGCCAGGGACCCGTTGATCTGCAAGGAAATGGCAAGTCGATTTTAGTTAAGTAACTATTGTACAGAACAAGATGCAAAGCAGAGTATTGGGATGGTTCAGAGATCAGCAAGTGCCCAGTAAGCTAAGCGTTAGATCATACAAGTATGATTATGCAATTAAACTCAGAAGCATACACCTACACTAGGTGTACAGAAAAAAAGTAACAGAAACTGGAAACAAAGGAGGCATATATGAGCCAGCTTAGATACTATCTATCTTTGCTGTATATTGTGGCTACAAATTTGAAGGCATGAGCTAGCTAGCTATTATATGGGAAGAGGAAGTAGTAATGTTGTATGATCATGGTTCAGAATGACAAAGGAAGTCAACAATGAACGTCCCACATGAACAAGATTATATGAGCAGACAATAATCATACAGAAAACACAATGCATGAATTTATCACCGGCAAACACAAAAAGCCATGCTGAGTACCATCCACAACATGTATAAAAGAACATTTAGCATGCACAACACACTTTGCAATACTCGATATATAATTAGGAATGATAGCATACATGCCATTCAATAAACAATCAACATGCCAGCATGAAACAAACAACATGAACCTTTAGTAAGTACTGTATTCAGCTGTCAGGGATTACTGAGTAGGCAAAAGGCATCCAAAATGACCAGCCAGGAGGTTACATACTACATCCATCATAGTTATTAGCCACATTGCAAAATACACAGCACAATCATCAGATAATTTATACAAATCCATGATATAACTAAGAGAGAAAGCTGAACGCCCCTAAATTCCTACAGTAGCAATCTGATAAAAGAGATGTAAGAGAGGAGATAAATTACCCTGAGTCTCTCAGAGAGAACGGAGGGGGTGATCTGCTTGTACTTGGGCACCTCGGAGAGCAGCTTGTCGTAGGTGGCCTGGTCGAACAGCACCGAGTTGTTCACCTTCTCCTTTTGCTTTCCCTTGCTCCACTTCTGTACCAATCAACAACATATGCGATCCACCCATGAGAACCAACAAAAAAGAACTAGCAACAATCGAGACAGGGAGACAGCGTCACCTTCTTCTTCTGCTTGCCACCGCCGGACTTGGCCGGCTTCGACGACGGCGGCGGGGCCTTGTCCTTCTTCGGGGCCTGCAGCGACAGAGACGAGAGAGCTTATCAACGACACGCCGCGTCGAACAAGTCCACTCCAGAGGCGAGAAGAGTGAGAGAGATTACCATCTCGGGGGCGGCGGTGGCGCGGAGACGGCGGCGGCGGCGGGGCGAGCAGAGGAGAAGGGAGGCTGCGACGGCGGCGGCGCTAGGGCTTTGAGAAGAGGTGGGAGACTCTTATATAGCGAGCCACGTGCCGTTTCTACCGTCCGATCCGATCGGACGGCGGGGAGTTACCCCAAGGGCAAACACGGGACAGCGAATGGGTGGCCCAACCCAGCACGGCCCGTTATGCATGCAACTGTAGCGGGCCGTGCCGTGCCAGCCCATGTACCAAGGCCTCAGACCAAGGATTTTGTTGCGGAAAAAAGTACACCCAAGGTCCCTCAACTTGCCATCCAGATACAAAATCGTCCCCCAATCGCAAAACCAGTCAGGGCGGAGCTAGAGCGAAATGGAGGGTGGTGCCACTTGCTTAATTTACTCTACTTTAGATCGAGTTTAAGCTGATGCAGGTGCCTAAGTTTGTATTGAGGGGGGTGCATACATGGTTAAAATAGGTGAGGTATAGCTAAAAAAATTTCTTGACCGGGTTCCTGGGCACCCCCCTAATACATAGCTCCGCCCCTGAAACCAGATACCAGACGTCCCTCAACTAACAAAACCGTTCGCTTCAGGTCCCTCGGTGGTTTTGACCCCGGTTTTGTTCGACGTGGTGGCTGAGTCAGCGTGGGGCCCCATGTCGGCTCCACATGTCAGAATGCCACATCATCTATCTTTCCCCTCCTCTCTTCTCTCCCTTCCCCCCCTCTCTCTCTCACTTTTCCCGACTCGCCGTCTCCGGGATCCCCTCCCCTCGTGGCGGACGTGGACTCTGGCACGCTCGCGCTTTGCTCACGCGTGGCTCGCCGTCGTGCCGCCTCACCCTATCCTCGCTCGCCAGGCGGTGCCGTGGCGGTGAAGAAGGCCTCAGCGCCGGCGTCAGCACGGGAGAGGGCGAGCGGGCGTGGGCGCCATCGAGGACAGGGATCCACTTGGCGGAGCTTGAGGTGGAGGCGCTTGGAGTGGGGCTCGGAGAAGACGAACTCGGCGCTGGAGAGGGACGGGCGAGGGGGCGGTTGAGGCCGCGGAGGAGGATCTGCATGAGCTCGGGGGACTCTGGGGCCGCACGGAGCCAGGAGCGCGGGGGCTGGAGGTAGGAGGTACAGTCGGGGCAGTAGACAGCGGCGTGGCGTGGGACGCCCTCGATGATGTTGACGCCGGCGCGGATGCAGCGCGTGCACATGTTGGCCGGGTTGGGCTGCATCGCCACGCCGCAGATGCAGCACAACACCGTGCCCACCGTCTGCGTCGGCATGAACATGACGCTCCAAGCAGCTGGCGCCACCGACCCCGGCAGCATCCTCTCGGCGGATTGGATTGGATTGGATTGAATCGGGATCGAATCGAGTGGATTGGGAGATCTCTAGAAGCCGGTGGGGGGGGGGGATCGAGATTTTTAAGCTAGGGTTTTTGTAGGTGAAAAGAGGGGGAAGAGACAACGGCGGCGCGTGCCCAGCGCCTGCCTGCTCCGCCGGCCGGCCGCTCCGGTCTGCACCGTTGCCGGCTTCGCCCACCGCTTTCCCGGTCCTCCGGCAGGCAAATGCGACGGGCCGCTCCACCCGTCGCTTTCCCGCTCCGCCGACCCGCCTGCTCTTGCGTGGACACCGCCGCTGCCTCATCGCCGGTCGCCGGCCATCGTCACCGAACCTCCTCCTCTCTCGCCTCGCCCCGTCGACTTCCTCCCCAACCCGCCGGCCAGTTTGCCCACCCAGACGACGAGAAAACTGAGAGAAGAGGAAGGAATAGATGACGTAGCATCTTGACATATGGGGTCCACGCTGACTCAGCTGCCACGTCGGACAAAACCGGGGTCAAAAACCATCGAGGGGCTAAAAGCGAACGGTTTTGTTAGTTGAAGGACGCTCGATATCTGGTTTTGCGATTGTGGGACGATTTTGTATCTCGATGACAAGTTAAGGGACCTTGGGTGTACTTTTTCCTTTTGTTGCGGCAAATGGCCCAGTGGCCAGCCCACCAGCCCGCATGGCCCACTAAAATCTGTAATCTGAAGCAGAAAAAAGAAAAAGCGAAAAAAATAAAAAAAATAATGATAGTAAAAAATATAGAAAGATAGTAAAATATGTTTAAAATTTAGTGAAAATAAGGGAAAATATGAAATACATGACAAAATATACGGGAAAAAAATGAAAAAGTATGAGGAATACATGGGAAAAATAAAAGAAAAATAGATGGACTGCCGGGCCATGCTCGTGCTTGGACCGTGCCGTCCGGCCCATCGGCAATCGTGCTGGGCCAAGCACGGCACGGCCCACAGCCCAGCCAGAGTACGGACAGGCTGGCAATCGTACGGATAGGATGGCCTCCTATAAACTTGGCCTTCGCCTCTGCTTTCTTCCAACGCAAGAAGAAGAAAAGCGAGAGAGTGGGAGGAGAGCAGGTAGAAGCAGAGCAGAGCAGAGAGAGAGAGAGAGAGAGAGAGAGAGCAAGCGTCTCCTAGGGTTTCTCGTGGCGCTCGGCTCGATGGCGATGGCGGTGGTGGCGGCGGCTTCCAGGGTTCAGGCGAGGCTGGCGGCGAGGCTCGCACCGCGGCGGCTCCTCTCCTCCGGCGGCAAGGTGCTCGGCGAGGAGAAGGCTGCCGAGAACATCTACATCAAGGTATATCCATCCCCACTCTCTTCCCTAATCTTCCTTCCCCTCGTGATTCTTGCTGTTCTTGCCGCGGTAGATGTGCTCTAGATGCAACTAGAGATGTATTGGTGTGCTGTATAGAGGTTTATGGTGCCAAGTCCAAGTGGTGTGTGTGTGTGTTGCGGTTGCGGTGGGGGTCGATTTCTGTTCGCTTCTTGCTCCGTCGCTTCAGGGATTTTGGCTGATGGGACGCGTGAACCGTAGGATTTTTTGCTAGTATTGTGGGTGCGCATGATTTTGTTGAGCGGTATGGTTCAGGGAAATGGATGTGCTCCTAATTGAAACGAGGCTGTTTTTCCTGTACGAACTGCTGAGTTTGCTTCAACTTTCATCTGTTCATCCTTGTGCTGTTTGTGCACCTGTTGGTGTAATGGTGTTGTTTAGGGAAATTCTGAAACTTGATGATTAATCTAGACATATGGTTACCTTTTCTTCTCTGTGGGTATGTGTAATATTTCTTTGTGTGGTGGTATGTGAGTATTTGCGGTTCAGAAAATTATGCCAGCGTGTGATAATGTCAGATGTGCTTGCGTACTAGTCATGAGGGATAGTTTGTCTAGTTTTTCTTTCATTGCTGTTCAGATTAGTAATATGTTCCTCGTGAAATTGCGCTTGATCTTTCTTGGTTTTGTTTTTCTTTCTGTGCTGTTCAAATTAGTGGCATGTTCCTCGTGAAATTAGCCTATTGTTGTTTGTAGTTTTAGCAGTGCTGTTCAAGAAATTTCTAGTTCATGTTTTTCTTGAACCATCTTCTTTCATAATTAGTGCAATTGATGGTGGTAATTTAGGAAAAATAAACTATGGATTTTAATCTAGTTATGTTACCATGTGTGGTTAACCTCCTAGCTAGCTATGTGTTGTCTTCCTTTCTGCATGTGCTTATAGTTGGTTCAGAACCCTATGCCAGTTTGCTGCAACATGATGTGGGGTGGATCTGATATCATTATCTGTTTGTTATGATGCAATTTCATCGTATTAGGAGATGTTGATCATCATAATCACTTAGCATGAGTGGTGAATCGTATGTTTGCTTATTCCCTAAGTTCTGTAGGATTTCTGGTTGCTTTGGCATATTCTGTTAATGGCACTTGATACTCTTGTGGGTGTAATATATCTGAATGTTCTTCACTGTACTGCAGAAAATGGAACAAGAGAAGCTGGAGAAGCTTGCACGCCAGGTATGTGAAGCACATTATCTTTGCCCCACTTAAAAGTATGCAGTCATGCATATCTGTTTCTCATAACTACTTTCCATTTTATTCCCAGCTTAAAACTACAGATCAGTTTGCCCTGCAAAACTTTGATCATAGTGTTATACTTTTATACCAGTTTCATTCAATATCTGCCCTTGCTCTGAGAAGAGGCAATTTGTTTATGCCATGCCTTGCTTTTACCAAATTCTGTAGAGTTTACAGGCCATGAATTTGCTGTGTTTTCTTGTTATGTGGGTTGTGAATTTGTGAACCTTTTAATCATTTGGTTGTTGCAACTTACAAGATACTAAATGCTTGCAGGGTCCCAGCCCAGGAGAGCAAGGCTCATCTACTCCTGCCGCTGATGTGAAGGCCGAAGGTGGCCCAACTGCTGGTGCGTCGACCGTCAAGAACAAGAACTACACTCTCATCGCAGGTGCTGTTGGTGTTCTAGGTGCCAGTGCCATAGCGTGGTATCGCCTGTCAAAGCCTGAGAAGTCAGAAGAGGTTGCGAACTAACTTGGGCCTTGCTGATAGAGTTCCTGTCCAGTTTCTCCTTTCTTTTACTCACCTTATGCACCTGCACTACCTTTTGGAACTAAACTGAGGAAAACCATGTGACTATTTCGGGGGATGTAAGTAACACCAGACAAATGTTAGTTTTCGCGTAGTTTCTACCATATGCAATCTCATGATAGGCAAGAAATTTTTGTGCCGTTTGAACTCAGTTGCTGGGTGAGGTATAACTGCCTTTTTTGGAGGGTGATCTTTTTGATCTGTACGGAGTAGAAGATTGTGCCCTTTTTGTCATAGCAACATTATTATCTGATGAGAGATATATATGAATGGAATGAATCAATGAATGATCTATATGAATGGCTCTTCTTTTGCTGTGTTTGTTGTGTCAAGTTAGCGGGTGAAATATGCTCCATTATTTTCTTCTAATTGTGGCATTTTTTGACTTGTCTGGTATACTGCTACATATTTGCCTCTTTTTTTTGTGCCCTCATCCAAAGAGAATGGAGCAGCACTTGTGTGAGCTCGCTACTGGTCTGATGTCTGAATGGTGTATGTATGTTGCAATCAAGAATTCAAGATGTATAAGTCTGAACAGCGTATGCTACTTGTAGCTGCAAATATTGTTGTCAAATGAACCTCATGCCTGGAACCGCATACGTACGCATTCTCACGCCGCTGCGAATGAATTGCATAAACCGCATGTCTGGAACCGCAGCAGCACGCATGTTCTGCATATCTAGGTGCGCAACAAAATGCAGAAAGGGAACACAGATATACTTGTCCAACACAATAGAGCCTCATTCAATCATGAACAAGCACCGGAAACCAGAGCAGATGAATCTAGCTCTGTCAAATGTTTTACAGAATTTATTCTTTCATCCTAGGACATGTATGAACACCGGTGTCCAACATAGGCATGTGAAACAAGTCCGTCTTCAGACAGAAGCACATCACTCCTAGTTGGATCCCCCCTCCGTATTCTGCCAAGACGAGCAATTGAGCAGCATTAGTAAATAGTCCAAACTATATTGTTCCATAGAGAGAATTAGAGTGCAATAAGCTGAAAAATGCATCTCCATACAAGGGAGATAATTCTTAAAAGCATACAGAACTTGAAAAGGTAGATAGGACGAGCAATTGAGCAGCATTAGTAAATAGTCCAAACTATTGTTCCATAGAGAGAATTAAAGTGCAATAAGCTGAAAAATGTATCTCCATACAAGGGAGATAATTCTTAAAAGCATATAGAACTTGAAAAGGTAGATAGGATCATAAGAAGCCTGCCATGTCAGGTAAACCAAATTAGTTGCTATTCTACATTTTTAAGCCTGCCATGTCAGGTAAACCAAATTAGATGCTATTCTGCATTTTTGCGCCCAAGACACATTAGAGGATTTTGCTTTGTCAATGTTTCCCTCTAGTAAGTTGCCAGGTGCAAGCGAAAATCTGCTGCAACTACATGCCCAAGTCCCATTTGGGACGAAAATCCACAAAATTTCCTATAAGGTGGTTTGCAAGTTGCAACATCAAACATTATAGCATGTAAACCAAATGAGTATAAAATTATGAGAGAAGGGCAAAGTAATATGTAGGAGTATCATCTAATCCTAACAATAGGAGTAAAAAAAGAAATGAGTCATGTTTCAAACACTGCAGCAAGTTAGCAAGACCAACTGTTGCGCTAATTAGAAGAAAAGAATTCATCAGATCATATGTTGAGGAGCAGGTGTGTAAGTTGGATGGATCAAGTACATTGTAACATGGTTATCATCTTTTCTGAACTAGAACAGATAGTGGGTATGAATATTCATGAAGATACAGAATCAGAATGAAGTTATCTTCAATCCTTAGTTCCCCACCCACCAGACGCTTGAGGCATACTCTCAATGTAGCGATTTCTGAATGTCCCTGTGGCTACACTAGACATTTCCCCATCAATCCCAATATCATCAACACAAGTGTGCCTTGCCCCAGTCAGATATAATCAACACAAGTGTTTGGGGAAGAGAGAGAGTGGGGGTGGGGGATAACCTTGTCGGAGGCGGCGGGATTGCCCTTGTCTGCCTCCGCCTTCTCCTTCTCGAGCTTCTTCTTGCGCTTCTCCATCCTCTCCCTCTCCATCTTCTGCTCCCCCAGCAAGCCGGAAAGAAAGAAAGAACACACAGCAACAATAGCGGTGAGCACTGGATCGGATCTGAGAGAGCACAAGAGCAGAGGAGACGAGGGGAGGGGAGGGAGCAACCAAATAAACCTGGACGTAGACGTTCTCCTTGGCCCGCTCCTCCTCGCTCAGCACGCGCCCCTTGCCGTCGCTCATCAGCCGCATCCCGCCGCACGCCGCCGCCACAGGAGCAGGGGAGCGGAGGCGCAACGGGAGTGAGGTCAGCGCCGATCTCATCGCCATCTCTCTCGCGCACTCTCCTCGACTCGCCAATAATCTCTCGATCGATTTCGCGTCGCGTCTCCACAGTCTCCGGGTCTCCTCCGCCTTTTTGTGGGCTGCAACGACGGCCTCACCTCACCTCCTAACCGTCCATTCCAAATCAACGGCGGCAGAGGTCGTCCTCACGCTTCAAGTCTCGTTGACTATAGCCTTCTTTCTTTTTTTTTTTACTTTATCAAAAGATTTAAAGTTGAGAAAATTTTCGGAGATTTTCACGATGTTGTATATGCTTAGTTCCATCAAACCCTAAACATGTTTTGCAAAAATTCATAGCTATGGATAAACCCTAAACTTTGGAAGCACGACAATTTAACAAACCCATAAAACTTAGGGTAAACGTGCAGAAGACTGAAGGATTGGACATTGTAGTCTAATGCTAATCTTACAACCAGCACGAAGTATGGAAGTGATGGAACAATCCGAATGGTGTCGTCAAGCGCCACAGAAGGCTCTCACAAATTTGCTATCCAAGTATGATCATCAACACTACCTGTGGCAGTGAAACAAATTGCACCAATCTTGAATCTTGCAAGGTAAAAAGGCTTATACTCCCTCCGTTTCGAAATATTTGACACCGTTGACTTTTTAGCACATGTTTGACTGTTCGTCTTATTCAAAAACTTTTATGAAATATGTAAAATTATATGCCTACATGAAAATATATTTAACAATGAATCAAATGATAGGAAAAGAATTATTAAGTGTCAAAATTTTTTGAATAAGACGAACGGTCAAACATGTAATAAAAAGTCAACGGCGTCAAACATTCCGAAACGGAGGGAGTATGTAGGAGCAGCATAACACACATAGAATTTCCACATTAGAAGCTTACGTAGAATAAGTTACTCCCAAATAAACACGCTACAAAAATAAGGTCCAGATATTTCTTTGATATATTCTCTTGCACTGACAGACAAAAGCCGGTCCCAGAGCGACAGGTCTATTTTAAGAGGAAAAGCTTGGTTTCAACTGATCCTTTTCACTTCTAGGTGGAACACACCAACTTAGAACACCCTGATTGGTTTCCCCATGGTGCTCTTGATGTAAAGGCACCTCACCTATCAAACACAAACAATTCCAAGTTATCATCAGTTGTTTTCTCACATAAAACTATTATTCAAAGCAAGGCCAAAACTCATATATATTCACTATGTTGTTAAACAGATTTGAGCTGTAAGTTTAATTGCATGCAAACAGGCTCAGAACAGATAACTCACATTCTGCCAGTTCTTTTTCAAAAGGGACACGAGGAAGTTGACGCTCATTTGGATGTTTTGCTGGATCTGCTTCTCCTCCATTGACAAGTTACCCACAGCAACACCCATGCACAGAACCTTCTTCAGCTGGAACTTGACTGTAGCTTTCGTCTCGTTGACCTTGGATTCAAGAGACTCCTGGTGAGTAACCAATGTAGGGAACTTGCCTGCAGTGTGATCAAAATGATTCAATTAACCAATCTGCCTTGGTAAACCCCAACTAGCCAGAGTCTAAAAAAACATATGGGTAAACTTCACACAGTTACTAGATTAAGGTCCAATTGGACAGTTTAGGTCCTACAACAGTTAACAGTTGGCATGAAATTAGCATAAAAAGACAACGCCATGAAAAATGAAATACAATGTAACACCTAGATGATAGTTATGTTTCACTGCAGGTCAACTATAAATTTGTAGTACTATTCAGGTAGCAGTGAGGCATATGAAACAATACTGTGCACGTTAGAATTCATAACTACACCAAGAAAAACTAGCATGTACTCATTAGAATTCAAAACTACACCAAGAAAAACTAGCATGCACTCGTTAAAATTCAGAACTACACCAAGAAAAAGCAAGAATGTCAGAAAATGGAATACTTGCCTGCCTTGTTGAGACCAGGACCAAGGAGACGAGGAATCTGCTTGATGATGGCCTCTGATGCTAAGAAAGCATGGTACTTCTTGGCAAGCTTCTTAACCAGCTTCTTGTTCTTGTTCATTTTCTTAAGAGCCTCAACATCCATGTAGTCAAGCCCAATCTTCTCAGCCTGCACACGAGCCAATCCGCAGCAAGTTGGCAGATAAATAAATTCTCATTAGACAGAATAAATTGATCCACAAACAACGTGTGAACATTCTTAATTTCAGACTCCAGCCAATTATACATAGCATACAACACTTGAGATGCAATGGAGAAGGACCCAGACAATATATCAGGCAAGGCACAAATAATAATTCAACCAAACAAATTAAAAATATGAAATATGTTTCAGTTAAGATACTACAAGAATGTAAAACAAAGACTTAAATAATCTAAGGTCACTTACATGAGTGAGAAAGGAAAATCCTCAATTTCAATCTAAACGGAGGGTGTACAAATTTACAAAATCAAAATGGGTATGGCATCATAATCTTACCTCCTCGACATGCTGGGCATCACCAAGCATGCAGACCTTCATCTTGGGGCGGGGGATATGGGGCAGCTTGACGGAGCCGCTGAAACGCTTGTCCTTTTGCGGGTCATAGTTCTTGAGACCAATCTGAAGCTCAACGGTCTCGGTGAACTTCCTGCCCTTCTCCTTGGATTCCCCAACAACCTGGGAGATGGCTTCCTTGAGAACCTCGCTCTGCAACTTACTGCAATTGATCACGCAAGCTCAGCACGTGAATTTTGTTCAGGAAACAAAGAACGAGCATTTCTTATACCGATCAGTAACCTATATTCAGACATAATCTAGCTAGCGCCACTGATCTCTAGCGAGAAGCAGAAAACTCTAGATCATGCAAGGTGTACAGCTACGTGATCCCAGTCTATCTCGAGATCCATCGCTTTAATGAGACATAAACTAAACAAATCGTCCGAATTCCATATCATCTTCTTACATCTTAATAAGAGCTTTGATCTAACAAAGCAAGCGCGCAGAATCACAGAAGGCCATAGCGACAGAAACTAAGCAATAGAAGAGATTCGTTAACCGTAAGAAGGGAAGTAGAGATTGGGCGGCGGGAATCACCTCATGATGATCGGCGGCGGCGGCGGCGGAGGGTCAGGGAGCGAAACGGCGCGAGAGGAGAGAAGGCGGCGAGTGAGGATGCGTGCTCCCGACCTAGGGTTTTTGTGGCTGCATGCTCTGTGCCGTTTCGACCGTCCGATCGGATCGGACGGTGGAGATTGACGCCGGTGGGCTTCCTTTCGTCGTGGGCCGAAACATAAAGGGCCCATTCCACATATGGCGGTCGCGCATCTCAATCTCAAAAAAAAAAAAAAAAGGAAAAAAACCTCCACTACGCAAATCGTCGTCGTCTTCCTCCGCCGAATTCCCCACCCCACCGGCGGCGCGACCGGGCGGAGATGTACCACCCGACGAGAGGCGGCGTCCGCGGCGGACGGGATCGTAAGCTCTCTCCTTCTCCTACCTTTCCCAAATCCACTCGCCGTGAGATCTCAATCGCTGGCTGCGGGCCCTAATTCTGCCGCGTAATTTTTTTACTTCCGTGAAACACTCGCTAGGGTTTCGATGCTGTTGCTAGGGACTCGCTGTGGCTGTAAGGTTCTAGTTGTTGATTTGTCGATGCTCCTTCCTCGCGTTTGATTGCATCTCGTCCGGTCTTACTTGTTGGTTCCAACTCGTCCGTGTTGCACTGGATTCGATTAGCTAGTTCGTCTCTTGTGTCTATGTGGTTAGTGCGTAGGATCTTACCTTCCAACTCATCTGTTTGCTTGTATGATCTTGCATCAGGAGGAATTCTGTGTCTGCCATATTGTTATTGAATCATGTTCCTTTGAAAGGTTATAAGATGGAAACTGCACATGGCGCGGTCACGCACGTATGCCTGCCCGCATTCAGCACCCTTCGGCACGCGTGTTCACCTTTATCTCTTCTCTATCCAATTGATACCAAGTTCCTCATTGGTATCCGACATTGTTTTTTAGTTTAAAAACAATGGTCATAAGATGAATGGATGACCCCATTGCAAGGGATCCTCGTGTGACAGACTGACAGTCGGATCATCAAGGGACAACAACTACTGGGGTTACAACGTACTGCTGCCAAAATTACCTTAATGAATGGTGGCATGGCAATACCAGTCATCAGGATGAAACATGACACTATAAAATTAGTATTAGCACTTCTATATGCTGGATGTATGAGCTTTCCAAAATTTACACGAGTTTTTCAACTTCTGTGGGCATATATTATGGATATGCATTTGTTTGCTGCAATGTACGGCACTTATTAATGTGCTCCGAGCTCTAGGATATCATGAATATAGCTCTAGGATATCATGGAATATTCAGTTTTACTCTCTGTATTTCGTTGTGTTTTATGCTTTATAATGCTAAGGTTCATCCTCATGCTGAATGAGCAAAAAGCTGCTAGATAACTACAAGATACAATGAGGTGAGAAAATGATCCAAATTACATTGATTACAATTGCTGCATCTGAAAGAGAAAATCATCACTTTTTTTTTGGGGGGGGGGGGGGTTCATTTATAGGCTTGTACTATATAACTACTTTGTATATGATAAACTCACTAGATTATCATCACTTATGGGCATCATCGGTGCCCTAATTGTATAACCTTATGCTTACTATTCAACTTTACAAGCGCTATAAATAATGAGTGCAGCCCGTTAGCTCCTCCAATTGCACCTGTGGTTCTTCATTTTGTACTATGAACATAAAGCTACCTTTTCTCAAACAGAAAAGCGTGCACTGGACTACTCCTACACCTGCCAACATGAATAGGCCTACATTTTGATCGTTTGTTTTTGCTATAAGCTCTTCTACATGTTGTTCTGTTCCACTGCCATTGTGTCATCTCCATCTTGCACTTTGCATTGTAGCTTACGAGCTTTTTTGTTATATGGGTTGAACATACAATTATTAGAAAAGCTCAGTAAATCTAAATACTTTTCTCCTTTTGTTCCTTGCAGAATTCAAATGGGATGATGTTAAGGTTGACAAGCACCGAGAGAATTACCTCGGTCATAGCATTAAGGCTCCTGTTGGAAGATGGCAGAAAGGTAAATATAACAATACCCCTTGTTTACATCCACCTTTGTTGGCTGGCTAGTCCTTATAAAACAATGGTTTTTTACTGCTCGACATGAAGTGGTTTTTCTTCTTCTTCTTCTTCTTCTTTTTTATGTCACATGGTCTAATTAAATTGTTAAAAATATCTTATCTCTTACTGTAGTTTCCTACTTGACCTTGATTTAGCTGTACTGTTAGTCTACTAGATTAGTGAATACCAGTTGTCCCATGTCCAGAAATCAAGAGTGGCTAATCACATCTCCCTCAAGTTGTTCAGGTTAACACTATCATTTTGTGTATACCGGGACATTACCTTTGATATAATTGAACTGGAATATTATGTATTTTTAGTGCGACAAGTGCGTAACTGTTGAAACATAAGCAGGCATTTGTCAGGGTTAGCACGAACTAAACAAAAGCGCTGGCATTCTATTTATTGACCTTCTAGCTGATACAAATAAAGTGCTATGGCATCCTTTTTTATTTTATGGATTCCAGATACAAATTAAAATTAGTCATTCATGTTTTTCGACCTTCTAGTTATTTATCAACTGGAAGAAATGTTGGTCTTGTGAGCAGTGAATTTGTGAACCGTAGGTGCATTCAGTGAGTTCAATATTGGCATGTGTTGTTTTGTTACCAGCTCAAGTGAGTTTGTAATTGTACCTTAGAAACCTCGTTTTGGCTTGATAATAGTAGGCTAATAGCAATAGATCTCCTTTTTTAGCTGGGCTTGGCCAAATGTTTTGATAAGCCTTCAACTAAAGTGGATTGGAATGTCAATGCTTGTTTTACTTTTTTAAGTCCTGTTATTTTAATGTATAACCCTGTGGATTCTAAGTTATTGATACGAGAGACTGATTATCTCGGCCAGGGAAGGACCTGTTCTGGTATACAAAAGATAAGAAATCTGACTCAGAAGATGCTCTCAAGGAAGAAATCAGGAGAGTGAAGGAAGAGGAGGAGCAGTCCATGCGGGAGGCACTTGGCTTAGTTCCTAAGCGTAGTAGTCGACCTAAGGGCAACCGATTAGATAAGCATGAGTACGCAGAGCTTATTAAGCGAGGATCAACTGCAGAAGACTTGGGTGCTGGACATGCTGAAGCAGCACAAGTGCAGGGTCTAGGTTTATACAAGTAAGTTCATGCTGCAATAGTTTCAAACCCACTTTAAATCATCCTTATTATATAGTGGTCATATAATCGAACTTATCTGAAAAGTTTTTTCTAGTGATATTTGATGAATTACTAATAATATAATCATAATGCACATTATCTCAGGGGTCCTCGCAGAGAGGAAGAATCGAGCTCCTTTAACCTTGATCCTCCAGAAATGGTGCCCGCTGAGCAGGCTGACAACCCTCCACCGGAAACCAAACCGGAACGTGAAGATTCCGATGATGATCGTAGGAGCAAAAGGGGGCGTGAGGAGAGGGGAGGGGAGAAAGAGCGGAAGCGAGAAAGGCACTCGGAAGGAAAGGAGAGGAGGCGTGACAAGCAAGAGAAGAGGAGTCGGCATGAGTCGGACGACAGGTCGAAGCGCCACCGCAAAGACAAGCACAAGAGGAGGCATGACTCTGATTCCGACTAGTTACTGCGGCTCTTTCAACCTGTCTCACTGTATCCTGCCATCATATTTCATGCCTTGCTACGTTTGCTTGATGATGATGTAGTTGTAAAAACAGCTTGTATACTCTTCTTGAATACATTGTCTGTTTTTAACTTGCACATGAGAAATATGTTGAACCTGTAACATCAGCGGTGCATTTTGGCAATCTTCTTTCTGCCTATCCTTGTCTTGTGCATTTCCATCTTCACGGGATGTTAAGTGTTACGGTGTGTAGTTCACATCAAAATTAGAAGTTTAATTAAAATTAAAACGATGTGACGGAAAGGTTACTCCCTCTGTTCCAAAAAATAACAATCTTATACTGGATGAGACACATCCTAGGACAACGATTGTCCAGATTCGATTCGTTGTATTAGTATGTGTCCCATATAGTATAAGGCTGCTATATTTTGGGACGGAGGGTGTGCTCTGCTTATTAGTTATTTCTTCAACGATCCAGTGAAAACCATTCTTAAATTTAACAAACGTTTAACACGTTAAGCGGCTAATTATCCAACCAGAATTTCCCAGGAGGAACACGCAGATTAGCAAAGGAAAAATAAATAAAACTAGCTGAGTCAACTCTCTCTGTCGTCATCTTCTTCGTGTGTGCAGTGTGCGAGTAACTCGACTCGACGAAGGGCAAATACGTAACTTTCTCGGCAGGAGAGGAGTTGGGTTGATTCGCAGCAAAGGCACGGCACGGCACGCACGCACTCGAATTCACCTTCACCTTCAGCGCGAGCCGCGAGCGAGAGAGGAAAAGGGAAGCGACGATCTCTGCCCTTCTAGAAGGTTCGCCTCGTCGGTCCCCTTCCCCCCCTCTCCTCTCAAGCTTCAGAGCCCTCTCTCTCCCTTACACGAGGCGAGATCTGCTCCCCTTCTCCCGATTCAACCAACCACCACCTCATCTCCGATTCCCCCTCTTCTTCTTCTTCTTCTTCCTCTTCTTCTTGGTGGGGTTAGTTTCTGAATCGTCTCTACTGCTAACCTCCGACTCTGATGCCGCTTCCTCTTCCCTTCTCTCCTAATTCACATTCTATTCGGATTTCCTTTTTGAGGGTACTCTAGTCTCACTAGTGGAGTGATTGATTGGTTGATTGGTGTTGTTGTTGTTGGGAACACAAATTAGGGTTTGGGATTTCTTGACTGGACGACCTCGTGCGATTTCGGGAGGCAGGAGCCATGAACGGCAATAAGCAGTCCCTGATATACAGCTTCGTGGCCAAGGGCTCCGTCGTGCTGGCCGAGCACACCGCCTTCTCCGGCAACTTCAGCACCATCGCCGTCCAGTGCCTCCAGAAGCTTCCCCCCAACACCTCCAAGTCCACCTACTCCTGCGATGGCCACACCTTCAACTTCCTCGTCGACCGCGGCTTCGGTAACACCCCTCTTCTTCTTATTCTTATCTTTCTGTGGGAACTGAACTACAGTAGTTAGTAATTGTGATATCTGTTGAGCTCACTTGGGTTATTTTGGGGGCTGCAGTGTTTCTCGTCGTTGCGGATGAGGCCGTTGGAAGGAGCGTGCCGTTTGTGTTCCTAGATAGGGTTAAGGAAGACTTCATGCAGCGGTATGGCTCCAGTATCGACGAGGAGGGTCAACACCCGCTCGCCGATGATGCAGATGATGATGACTTCCTCTTGGAGGACCGATTTAGCATCGCCTACAATCTTGACCGGGAATTCGGGTATGAAGTCACCATATGCTGTGTTACCTACATATGATGTTTCTTTCTTTTACTAGTATCAAATGTGTCTTTAACATGTGTTTTTGTGTTTGGGTATAGACCGAGGCTGAAGGATCACATGCTGTATTGTATTAATCATCCAGAGGAAATTAGCAAGCTCTCCAAAGTGAAAGCACACCTCACGGAGGTCAAAGGGATTATGATGGACAACATTGAGAAGGTATGTGCTCAAAACAGTGCTTTCTTTGCTGAAAGAATATAGTATATTGTGTACGGAAACAATTGTTGTGTAAGTAAGGTTTCCCAAAAACTCTGGATTATATTGTTCTAGACACCTAACAGTTCCCCTGTTCTATTCATGTATGGCCATATTTCTGTGTGATTTATTTCTTTGATGAAGTAAACGTGGATATCATGTCAGGGTATGATGTAAACATGTTTCACCTTTTCTGCTCAATGAAAAATCGCGTAAACTTGTTTCACCTTTCCTGCTCAATGAAAAATTGCAAATGGAAACATTTTCAATAGTTCATGGGCCACATCCCATGCTGCTTGGAAGTTCCTGCAGAATATTATTACTGTGTGCAGTCTATGTTGCTATGCATAGAAGTGCTCTGGTGTCTGTTGGTGTGATTAATTTACGAATTGAACAAGTAATGATGGGATCTTGAGTTTTAAAATAAAGATCAGTTTTTCCCCCCTTTTTGTGAGTTAGTACATACTGTTGTCATTGTGGTGATGAATCGTCTGCTTATTGTTTTGCCCACGTATTTGAACTTTTTTTTTGTTACAAAGTCTTCACTATGACAGTATGGTTATTGGCATTCTAGTTTCAATATCTTGGGATATAGGAGTATCATTTTAGTTATGCTGACTTTCCAATATAGAAACCCATGTCTAGTACTCCTACCCAGTATGTAATTAGTCAGTCTGGCATTTTACAGGAAGCCAGAGAATGCAAACAATATTTGTGGCCTCATGTCATTTTAGTATTTAACTGAATACAGAAAAAATAAACTCCTTTCTTGATGTTTCATACTACTGACTCTTACTGTCCTGGATTTTGTATAGATATTGGAACGTGGAGAGAAGATTGAGCTTTTGGTCGGCAAGACTGAAACCTTACAATCACAGGTATGGAAAATCTGTGTGAAATTTTTGTTTCTGTAAGAATGTTTAAGTAACCATGACTAAGTGGTGTGTTTTCAAATAATCTTCAGGCTGACAGCTTCCACAGGCATGGAAGAGAGCTCAGGCGTAAGATGTGGCTTCAGAACCTGAGGTTTAAGTTGATGGTGGGTGGTGCTGTTGCGGCGTTGATTCTCTTCCTCTGGCTGATTATTTGCGGGGGCTTCAAGTGCTAGAACATTGAAAGCCTTTTTCTTTGTTTTGCATTCGATGTGTTTACCGTGTCGTGTGCATATATAACGACCAGCAAATCCTGCTTTCGATATGCTTCGTGCAGAGTTAAATCTCCTTATGGACCTTTATTCCTTGTAGCCTGTTCTCATGTTTCATAGTATTACAATAGGGGGGCTCTGGAAATGGAATACTTGTGTAAACAAACCTTGTGAAAGGAGACAACTTAGCTATCTGTATTATGTACATTCTGAAATGCTAATAGCTTATTTCAATCTCATTTTCATTGGTCATTCTCAGCTGGTGTCCTAAATGTTGATTGCGTACCGCGCGTCTGCGCCAGATCATTTAACTCGCTATTCATATTCTGCAATTAATCGATTCTTTGAACTGTAAGGGTCTATCTCAAGATTAGGATGGCGCACCGAATTTCTGATTGCATGAAAGATATAGTTTATCTTCACAATTTGCAAAGGGAGAAAGGCTATATATGTTGATATGCACTCTGCTTCTATCAATCCCTCCCGTGCTATGTTTAGCGGTGAAGCAGGTGTGGATATACCTCAACTGACAGCATATGATCAGTCGAACTGAATTTCATACGGAATGAGTTAGACTGACTACGCCTAATCACTTTCATTGCTGCCCTTTTTTTTTCTCCCTCTTCTAGCGTTGCGAGGTAAATGTATTAGTTAGAGAATTCGAGTTCCTGTTATATAAATTTATAAAACTTACGGAACAGAAACAACGCAAAGGGTGTTTGGTCTAGTGGTATGATTCTCGCTTCGGGTGCGAGAGGTCGCGAGTTCGATTCTCGCAACACCCCGTTTTTTTTTTCCCAATTTTGCTTCAACGGATGACCAATTGCCTGTGCCATTTACCTGAGTCTAATTAGCAGCTATTTTTGACTTTTATTTTTCCCACCTTGTTTGTGCATGCAACCGCGTATAGAAATATTTTCACAAGATAGGTATGTCTTGTTTGAACCAAATATGGGTTCCGGCACTTTGTATCGCCAATTCTGAGATATCACCATTTTTTGGTGGAAATAATAGTAGCCAAAATTGTCTAAGTACGAGTCTATACAACATGGTACAGATTGGAGGTTAAAGCAAAACCAGTTTACTTGTGTGAACATAGTTGTGCTCTGGTTAGGGTCCATGTGATAAAAATCATAGGGTACGTACGTTTGATGGTTAAAGAAGGTACCCGTGGTTAGTGGTGGGTGATTTTAATGAGACTCTTTGACAGTTTGAGCACTTCTCTCTGAAACAACGAAGTGAGCCGCAGATGCAAGCCTTTAGGGATGTGGTCCAGAGATGTGAACTCCATGATCTGGGGTTCTCGGGGGTGCCATACACTTACGATAACAGGAGAGAAAGCCGCGGCAATGTTAAAGTGTGCCTAGACCGCGCCCTTGCAGATGATGGGTGGAGGGGACTGTTCTCTACAGCACAGGTGTTTCATCTGTCCTCTCCTAGATCAGACCATTGCCCCATCCTTGTCAAATTTTATTCTGAAGATCTTCGCAGGAATTTTGCGAAGTGTGTCCATTATGAAATTTATTGGGAAAGAGACCATGCAATCTCTGAAGTTATAGCAGAATCTTGGGGCGTTTCCGGAGCTAAGCAGGATCTGAGCGACATTAATCAAGCTCTGTTTAGGATGATGTCTAACCTTCGCCCATGGAGTAAGAAAAAGTTCAGGAATGTCAGCCGGGAGATTGAGAAAACTAGAAAGAAACTATCTGAACTTCTTCTAAGTAATACCGACAGCAGGGAAATAAGACGGGTGTCTGATCAAATGAACGAACTTCTGTACCGTGAGGAGATGATATGGCTGCAACGATCTCGAATTGCTTGGCTGAAAGAAGGTGATAGAAATACACGTTTCTTTCACAGCAAAGCAGTGTGGAGAGCAAAGAAGAATAAGATTACAAAGCTACGGGATAGTGACGGTACTGTTCACAATACGACAAAAGAGTTGGAAAGCATGGCAACTGAGTATTTCCAAAGGCTGTTCACTGCCGACCCCAGCATTGATCATTCGAGAGTCACTAGCCTGATAAAGCCGAAAGTCACGGATGCGATGAATGAGGAACTATGCAAAACCGTCAGTGAAGAGGAAATTGCAAATGCCCTGTTCCAAATTGGTCCATTAAAAGCACCCGGGCCAGATGGATTCCCTGGTCGGTTCTATCAGAGGAATTGGGCTATACTAAAGGACGACATTGTGCGAGCAGTACAAGAATTTTTCTCTTCGGGTACCATGCCTTCGGGGGTCAATGAGACTGCCATTGTTCTGATACCGAAAACTGAGCAACCACAGGAACTAAAGGATTTCAGACCTATCAGTTTGTGCAATGTGGTCTATAAAATAGTGTCTAAATGTTTGGTGAACAGACTAAGACCAATCCTGGATGATCTGGTGTCGCAGAACCAGAGTGCTTTTGTCCCTGGTAGATTGATAACAAATAATGCCCTGATAGCATTCTAATGCTTCCACAATATACAGAGGAATAAAAACCCTGAGAATGCTTACTGCGCATACAAGATGGACTTGTCCAAAGCGTATGACCGTGTAGACTGGAAATTTTTGGAGCAAGCAATGGTTAAACTGGGTTTCGCTCACTGTTGGGTTAAATGGATTATGGCATGTATAACCTCGGTAAGATATGCAGTTAAACTTAATGGAACCCTGTTGAACACCTTTGCTCCATCACGAGGTCTGCGTCAGGGTGATCCGCTTTCGCCCTTTCTTTTCCTTTTTGTGGCTGATGGACTGTCCTTGCTACTAGAAGAGAAAGTGGATCAAGGAGTCATGAACCCAAATCCAGATATGCCGTCGTGCTCCTGCTGTGTCGCATTTACTGTTTACGGATGACACGCTGTTGTTTTTTAAAGTGGCAAATGATCAGGCGGTAGTGATGAAAGAAGTTCTCAAAACATATGCTTCCTGCACTGGGCAATTGATAAATCCTTCCAGATGCTCCATCATGTTCGGGCAAAGCTCTCCTACTGCTGTCCAAAATCAGATAAAGCAGACCCTGCAGATAAGTAACTCCTTTGAAGATAAATATTTGGGCTTTCCGACGCCTGAGGGAAGAATGACCAAAGGAAAATTCAAAAGCCTCCAAGAGAGATTATGGAAGAGAATTATGCTGTGGGGTGAGAACTTTCTGTCAACCGGGGGGGGGAAGGAGATTTTGATTAAAGCTGTCCTACAGGCCATGCCTGTTTATGTTATGGGACTCTTCAAGCTCCCGGAGTCGGTCTGCGAGGAATTGACAAAACTGGTTCGTAATTTCTGGTGGGGAGCAGAGAAAGGGAAGAGGAGAACGCACTGGAAATCCTGGGACTGTTTGATTGATCAGAAGTTAAAGGGAGGTATGGGGTTTAGGGATTTTAGGCTGTTTAATCAGGCGCTTCTAGCTAGACAAGCCTAGAGATTGTTTGACAGACGGGACAGTCTCTGTGCTAGAATTTTGAAGGCCAAGTACTATCCGAACGGTTCTCTCATTGATACAAGTTTTGGAGGAAATGCCTCTCCAGGCTGGAGAGCGATCGAATATGGTTTAGAATTACTAAAGAAGGGCATCATATGGCACATTGGCAATGGTAAATCAGTCAGATTGTGGAAGGATCCCTGGATTCCGCGGAGCTATTCAAGAAGACCCATCTCAGCTAAAAGAAATTGCAGACTGAGATGGGTTTCAGACCTGATTGATCAGTCCGGGTCTTGGGATAATGACAAAATCTCACACCATTTCCTGCCCATGGACGCTGAGGCCATCCTAAACATTCATTTATCTTCAAGGCTGGAGGAGGACTTCATTGCTTGGCATCCGGATAGACTGGGGAGATTTTCTGTCAGGAGTGCTTATCATTTGGCAGTAGCTCTAGCACAGGTTAATGATGGCTCGAGTTCATCCGGGAATGGAAGTAGCAGAGCTTGTAATGCCCTTTGGAAATGCAATGCGCCCCAAAAGGTGAAGATTTTTGCCTGGCGAGCTATTACTAACAGCCTTACAACATTGGAAAATAAGAAGAAGAGGAAGCTTGAAGTTTCAGACATCTGCACCATTTGTGGGGTGGAGTCAGAATATGTTGTCCACGCTTTGTTTCACTGCCCACATGCCCGGCAACTCTGGGAAGCGATGAGTGATGATATGCAGCTTAACCCTCTCAGCAACATTCACAATGGAGATTCGAAAGTGATCCTGGACCTGTTGGAGCAGTCGCAGCCGGAGGATCAGGTTATGCTTTTAATGGTACTGTGGCGAATCTGGCACACACGGAATGAAATAGTGCATGGCAAACCAGCCCCAGGAATACTAGTGTCCAAACGTTTCATTGAAAGCTATGTCCTCTCCCTTGCTGAGATCAAGCAACACCCCCAAGCAAATCCTGAAAAGGGGAAACATGTTGTGGATGTGGTCCTAAAGAAGTCGCACAGCATCAAACGGAGTCGAGAACCTGCTCCTGACAAATGGTCGAAGCCGCTCCCAGGAAGCATGAAGCTGAATGTTGATGGCTCATTCCAGGAGAGTGAAGGCAAGGGTGGTATAGGCGCTGTGTTGCGCAACTGCACAGGAGAGGTTATTTTTGCTGCTTGTGGACATGTTGATCACTGTAGCAGTGCTTTGGAAATGGAACTCCTCGCCTCCAGGGATGGTCTTGCCCTCGCCCTACAATGGACCCTGCTACCAATAGTGATTGAGACAGACTGCTTGGCGATGGTCCATCTTTTCCGCGATGCTACAGGAGCTAAATCGGAGCTAGCGTTTTTAATCACGGAGATAGATTCTCTCTTGGTGGGAAATAGGGATATTAGCTTTAATAAGTGTCTTAGAAGTCAAAATCTTATTAGTCACTGTTTAGCAAATAAGGGCCGTTGTGACAAGATCACACAGTTCTGGCCGGACAATAAGTGTACTTTTATCTCACAGTTTATATGTGAGGAGGCTAATGAGTAATTATCCCTTTCCCCTGCAAAAAAAAAGAAGGTACCCGTGAGATGCAAGACTTGGCAATAATCTTGTGTATAACTTTGTTATATTCATGTGGATATTTGTGTGTGCATGAGTATATGTGCACGTCTTACTTGTACTTAGAAAAACATCTTAATTGTATCGTTACGTACCTTTTTATAATGTCGACGACAACTAAGATGGTGACAACAATATTGGACCATGTGCGCAACAATGGGATAAAGCTACTAAGGACATCTATATTGTAGTGAAAAAGCAGGTAATAAACAATAATATATGCTTTCTTGTTAGCATACGTTGTGG